GGGACAAGCTGCTCAGGGTGAAGAGCTGGAAAGGGCTGGATCTATGCCCTGAAGGGTTAGCCCTGCAATTTTCAAACTTGACATATGCAGAAGCCTGCAGGAGCCTGTTACAGATTCTTCACCCTCATGTCCCACCCTTTGAAAGTCCCTGGTGTGGAATTCCAGGATAACATAGTCCAGAGGACTAGAGGGGCCCAGAGTCAGAGCATCCATGGGGCTCCTGGCAGTTTTCCTGGAGGAGGTGTCACACATCAGGTGGCCCCGGACGTCTGGATGAGAATGTCGAGCTAGACATAGGAAGGTGAGAAAATCCCTGGTGGCCAAGGGTGAAAGGAACATGGGAACTGAGGCAGAGGACAGTATGCCTGCAGGCAGGTCCGTGTTTTCAGATGGTAAGGAAATGAAGCTGCAGGAGGCAGGGGTCTGAGTGTCATGCTGGGGAGGGGATGGTGTCCCCCCAACAACAGGGTGGGCAAGAGGGAGGAGGAGAGGGAGGTGGGCAGTCACGGTTGCTCTGTCCTACTTGGCTCAGACACGGTGGCGGGGCTGTCTCCTCATCCTCCCATGTGACCGTATTAACATTTACATTTCCTAAGTGAGAAAATGATCAGCAAAGCTGGGTCACCCAGCATGGTCATGGCAGAGCTGGGCTCAAGTACCTCTTCTCCAGATTTCCAGACTATTCCTGTGTCTGTTAGCCCAAGATGCCACTGACTCACAGAGTCACACCACTTGTCCCTGGACGTTGCTGTCCTACATTGTCGGCAGCTTGAATTTTTTCTCAGGCCTTGGGCTCTGCCAAAAGCCAATAATTTCCAGCTTTCCTGTTTAAACTGAATTAAGGATCGTCAACTCAAGATCAATGTAATTAAGGGTCAAAGTATATCCCCAGCCCATGTTTAGGAGGAAATTAATATGATAATAAAGGAATGATGATAACAACAGAGGTATTGAAAAGTTAGTGGACGCCCTCCTGCCGGGGTTTGTGGAGCGAGACGCCGGTCACTGTATGTGAATCATCTTACATAAGCATGGTTCTCAGGCCTTTATCCCTGACTACTGTCTCCATCGGTGGGATGAGGAGACCCAGACAGGACAGGTAATTATAGTCACAAAGCTAGCAAGTGGTCTTATCCATTGGGATAAGCTAGGTTTTGTCACTGTAACTAATCTTGATGCTTATAGCATCAAATGTGTGTTTCTTCACCTCCTGGGTGTGCGACAACACAAACATTGTAACCTAATCGTTTATACCCTCACAGTAATCTGGAATTTGAAAAGGAAAATAAAACTTTACCCACCCCCCAAAATAAATGAAGCCACAGTCACAGAAGGTGGCTCTCTGTTATTATTTCTTTTGTGCCTAAAATAATCTAAGGATGCTAATTTTGGGGGGTTCTTTTGCAAATTTTGGCCGGGGCTGCTGGGTTTGAACCTGCCACCTCCGGCGTATGGGGCCGGCACCCTACTCCTTTGAGCTACAGGTGCCGCCCGATGCCAATGTTTTTAAATGTGTAAAATAACAGTGAATAAGGTAACAGTGGAAACCAATGATACCGAAACATAATTATCAAATTAAAAAAGATAAATTTCTGATGTGAAAGTAAAAAACAAAACAAAGGTGTCTTTCTTGTGCACGCATGCACGCCCTTTGCAGATTGTAGCTTTGGTCTGCCTCGTCTTTGTTTTGGGTCCCCGGCTGACAGTGCCCCCTGTCTGGATTCTTGCTGGTCTCAGGGTGGAGACAAAAGCTCCTGCACTGGCCCTTAAGGATTCTGCCGGAAGTAACAGTCACCTCCACCTGCATTTTCTCGGGGTTAAAGCTGGTCGTATGGCCACTCAGTTCAACAGGGGGAGGGATGTATATTCTCTCTGCAGAGAGGGATAATTGATATTTGGTGGTAGGTAATAACCATGGCAGCAGAGGGAGGATTCAAGCCTACATTTAATGTCCAATCCTGACATTAGCACCCTGGATTTTATTTTTAAGTTTCAGATTAATATGAGGGTACAAATGTTTAAGTTCCGTTGTTTTCAATTCTAAAGTAAAGTTCAACTTGTATGTGAGCCCTTCCCCCAGGGGGGCATGCTGAACACCCTCACACTGTGCACATCAGGTGAGATCCCGGTCGCCCTCCCTCCCTCCTTCCCATCCGCTTCCTCTGCCTTCCCCCTCACTAGACTATACTTGTGGTTTTTGTTTCATGTAAGCGTGCAGTTGTTTCTATATTGTTTCATATTACTATTGAGTACACTGGATATTTGCTTTTCCATTCTTAAGATACTTTACTAAGAAGAATGTTTCAACTCCACCCAGGTTAATACAAAAGATGTAAAGTCTCCATCTTTTCTTGTGGCTGAAGGAGATCCCTCCGTGGTATATGTATGCCACAGTTTGTCAATCCATCCATCCCTTGATCCTGATCACCGTCCTGCCTTCGGCTTTGCCAGATGCGTGCAGTTCGACCTCACCCTACATCTCTGATGCTATGAATTTCGGTCATGGAAACCCAGCACCCGTGCTGGGCAAAGAGATATTTCCTGTTGGTTTCTGCTCTTCTGTGATTCAGCAACCGAGCTGTGCTGTGCTTTACGCCCGGGAAATAGTCAGGGGAAACGTTTGTTGGCAGAAAACTAAAAAGCCCAGCAGATCCCTGAATGCACGACTTGGGTGCCTTTTTTTTTAGATGACTGGAGAATGAGCTCTTAATAAAATGAGTGGCTCCTGAGGAGGGGGACGGGAGAGAAGCAAGCACTGGCTGAGCTCGTGCGTTTTCTGTTCCCGGAAATGCAGCTCCCAAAAGTGCCGGGGCATCATCTATTCTCAGCATAACTTCATTGGCTAAGGAAATCCAAACCAACAACCCTATGAGATAGATTTGTTTGTTTGTTTTTGAGACAGAGCCTCAAGCTGTCGCCCTGGGTAGAGTGCTGTGACATCACAGCTCACCGCAACCTCCAACACCTGGGCTCAAGCGATTCTCCTGCCTCAGCGTCCCAAGCAGTTGGGACTACAGGCACCCACCACAACGCCCGGCTATTCTTTGGTTGTAGTTGTTATTGTTGTTTGGCGGGCCTGGGCTGGATGCGAATCCGCCAGCTCAGGTGTATGTGGCTGGCACCTTAGCCGCTTGAGCCACAGGCGCCGAGTAGGTATTCTTATCCCCGTTTTATAAAAGAGGAAACTGAGGCTCAAGGAGATAGAGTTATCAGGGTGACAACAGCCACTGTTTTGTTCCACGCCTGCCCTGTGCCAAGCAATATGCTAAATGCTTTACAATCTATTAATAGACTCCACAGTCACCGGGGAGATAGGTAACTATTATTTATGTGTGATACGGGGACGGTAATAACCCTGCCTCTGAGGATAAGATAAATCCTCTGAAGTACAAAGCACAGTGGCTGGGCTTTAAGAAGCCCTCTGTAAGTATTAACCAATTTGCTTCTTTTATTATCCCCATCCTTTGCTATCACTCCTCATGGACTTGTCCAAACTCCACCTGCAGTTCAGAGTTCCCACATAATGACCGATTGGTCCCACCTTCAACAAGGTGGCCGAGGGTTGAACGTCCAACCCTCAGGAATATTGGCCATCATCACCCACAACAGCCCTTGTCAGGGTTCACCTGACCCCAGTTCACGCTAAACCCTTTCCTTCTGTTTAAATTTCCTCAAGTTTAAATAAATCTAAACAAGTCCAGCTATTGCTCCAAGGCCAAGGTCTCCCATGCAGGCACTCCTCAAACCCATCCTTGAAATGATTATCCTGAAGGAAATTGGTTTCCAAATTTCCCAGGGAGAGGTGGGATCAGACGGCAGGGTGGGAGAGAAGGGAGGGGAGGAGGTGATGGAGTCTGTGATTCTATTTTGTACTTGTTCTGGGTCCATCTATGTAAAGATCATTTTTGTATTTCTCCTGCTATTATTATTATTATTATTTGTCTTTTCATTATTCAAATTGCAACCCTATTAGGATGGATCCATTGGGTAAGTAGTACATCCCATATGCTGAGATCCCATATGCTGAGTCTGGGTTTTAGAATGTTTTCAGCTTTTAAAAACCATCTATGAGCCCCAGGAGAGTTGGGTATCTTACTCTACATGTCAGAGCACCTGTACCCAGCATGGGCCCCAGTTTGGGGGTTGGTGAGACTGGGATGTCTCCAGGGAGCTGGGCACAGCGAGCCCTAAAGACCCACCTCTTTTCCCCCAGAATGGCTGAGGCATCCCGGAAGAAGAAAGAAAACAGGAGGAAATGGAAGCGCTATCTCCTGATAGGCCTGGCGACTGTCGGAGGCGGAACAGTGATCGGTAAGGCCAGCTGGAGATGGGGACACAGGGCTGGGGGTAAGTGGAGAGGGTTGGCTGGGAGGTGGCCTGTGATCTGTGGTAGGTGCTCCGTAGTCACCACGCTCGTTAGCATTGCCAGAAGCCTCTATGGAAGGCTGTGGGCAGCTGATGGGGTAAGGACCTGTCCAGCCACATCCTCAGACCCCACTGTACCTGCTGCTCTCCCTACAGGTGTGACTGGGGGCCTTGCTGCCCCCCTTGTTGCTGCTGGAGCTGCAACAATCATTGGCAGTGCTGGGGCGGCAGCCCTTGGCTCAACAGCCGGCATAGCTGTCATGACCTCACTGTTCAGTGCAGCTGGAGCTGGCCTGACAGGTAGGTTTCAAGGGCGCTGGCGGGGTAGAGGGATTTTCAGCCAGGGTGGCCCAGTTCCTGGAGGACACACCCAGATTCTCACTGGTGTTCACCCTCTGGGAAGCCAGGGAGATGCAACTTTTGTCTCTCTGATCCCCAGCCCTGCTGGAGCCCATCACAGGCTTCCCAAAGGACAGGGCCCGGTTATCAAGCCCAGTCTTTTCCCCAGGCACCTGTGTATACTTCACAGAGAAAGACCCTGAGCAGACCTGTTTCCACCATCCAGAAGTTTCCAGGCAGGCCACCTCGAAGACAATGCTGAGGCTTCCTCAGGGAGAACTCAGCTGTCCTTCATTTACCAGCAGTACCTGGGGGAGTTTTCCCAAGTCCCGTGTGTCACAAGCCCCCAGTCACATACACATCCCTGTTCAGCTCCCCGGGTAGAGTGTCACTCACCTGTTGAGAATTTTGGTCCATTCGATTCCCTCTTACTATAAGGAATAGGGAAGTGTGTGAATAGGAAAAAGATACAAACCCAGCTGAGTCAGGATGGAGGGGTGGTTAGAGCCTTGGCTCCAAGTTCAAACCCCAGCATTGCTACTTGGGGGCTGGCCAGCCTTGGAAAGCTTCTTACCTTCATCTATCATCAGGGACAACAGTGGCACCTACCTGAATGAGTTCAAACACGCAATGCGTTTGTCCAGGGGCAGGGCACACCTTCGGCGCTCACTGTGTGAGTGTATGACAGCCACTCTGGCTTGTGCTCCCGGGGACCCCAGTTCCCTCCATTCTCATTCTTGTATCTGGGTCTCTAGGATACAAGATGAAGAAGCGTGTGGGAGCCATCGAAGAATTTGAGTTCCTGCCGCTGACGGAGGGCAGGCAGCTGCACATCACTGTCGCCATCACGGGGTGGCTCGCGTCGGGGAAATACCGTGAGGACTGGGGAGGGCCAGGAGCGGAGTGAGACGGGTGTTGGCTGAGTGGCGCCTGCTGCTGTGGGCCAGGCCCTGGGCTGGGTTCTCTCCTGGGAATGTCTCTAGGGAGTGAGTATGGGGAGCCCCATTCACAGAAGAGGAAACTGAGGCTCAGAGAGGTGAAGTGACTTCATCTCACATCCATCTACCCTCCCCCTCCCATCTATCCATCCGTCACTCACCCATGCACCTGTCTACCCAGCCAGTCTGCAGAATTTACATGGTGCTGTACTTGTCATGTGCCCTAGGAATTTCATGGTGAACAGCACAGTCCTGGCCTCTGCCCCCATGGATCGTACTGTCTAAGATAGAAGATAAACCAAGAAATAAAGGGAAGCATTATGGATGGCACAGTAGGGGAAGCACAGGATGATTCTGGAAAGGGTTCCTGGAGGAAGTGACACTTAGGCTGAGAGCTGCTGGGAGTTAGCCAGATAAAGAAGGAGCAAAAAGGACATGGGAAGCAAAGGAGCAGCATGTGCAAAGGCCCAGCGGTACAAAGAGCCAAAAAGAGTGGAGGATGGTGCAGCAGGAGAGTAGGCAAGGCCAGAGCACATGGGAACATGTGAGCTGTGGCAAGGAGTTTGGATGTGGAGTGAGTGGACTTAAGCACCAGGGTGAGAGGGCAGCGCATCTTGGCATGTGACCTCAGCACGTGTTACTTTACTTCTCTGTACCTCGGCTACTTCACTTGTAAAGTGAGATTATTCCTACTTTTGTGCATTGCTGCAGAGATTGAATTAAACTAAGTAACATGTGGAAGGCACGTGGTTTCCTGTTGGCATTCCCAAAACATTACTTCCCTTTGCTGCTAGAATCCACCTGTGTTTGGGGGGGAGTCTAACCAAGGTGGCACTGAAGACTCACACCGTGGTCCACTTGTCACCTGGCTCGCCTGCTTTTGCAAGGGCTCAGCATGAGCTCCCCAGACAGGGCCTGGCTCAGAGAGTGAGCAGGGTGTTTCTGGGAACCTCTGAGGACCACACATGCTGAGAGCCTCCTGGGTTCCCAAGTCCCCAAGTCCACCCAAGACCCATGGGTGGAATCCACAGCTCTTCTAAGCCACAGGGAAGGAAGCAAGTGAGAAAATGTTGTTACCGGGCACCAGGATCTTATCGATGTGTCACTGCCAGGCCCCCAAGCAAGCTCTCAGCATTCACAGAGCACCCGGCTCGTGTCTGCCCTGAATCAGGCATTCTACCTGCACGATAGGAACTTGGTCTGTATCATCTCATGGACCCCTCCTGTCCACCCTCCAAGTGGGGCTGTTCTCATCCTGATGTTAGAAGAGAGGAAAGTTCAGGAAGGAAGAAAAAAGTCACCTGTCCCTGCCTTCTTAACAGCCAGAAAAGAAACCGTGTTGTCGTCACAGGCTGGCTGGGAATCACTGAGCTTTCTTTGGCCTGTCCCTTTATTAACCACAATTATATACAATAAAGATAGTAGTAGCTCTGTAGCTACCACGTGCCGTGAGCCAGGCACTGGGTATGATCAGCTCGTTTCATTCCTCACTTCAGGCCAAGGAAGTAGGCGTCCTCAGCCCCTCCTTTTATAGTTGAGGAAACTGAAACTGAGGCTCCTAAGGGGTATCCGGGGTCACCCAGCTAGCCAGAGGCAGGATTCAATCCCAGTCTTTCGGTCTCCGCAGCCCATGTTCTTGGCCATGGGACAACACAGTGCAGTACAGCACTTTACAGTTTATATAATGCTTTTAACTCAACATCTCGTGTGATTTCCCACCACACCCGTGAGTCAGATGTTATCCCATTCCTATAGATGTGGAAACCGAGGGTCATAAGGGCAGTGAGCCTTGCTATGGGACCCACCAGCAGAAGCTGCCAAGCTGGGAACTTGCCCGGGCCAGCATCACAGCAAGCTCTTGCCCCTCTCCCCATTCAGTGCCTGCCACCTCTCTCTGGGCTGGCTGTCACCTTATCCATAATTAAAGACAGTTGATCCCTGAGTTGTTGCAGAGCAGAGATGGGGTCCTTGCAGAGGACAAGGGCACAGCTGCAGGATTGTCTTTGTGTCAGTGCAGTGCCCTGCAGGTAAGGACCAGGCCTTTGGGGCAGGCAGGGAGAGATGTGCGGTTGATGTCCAGAACCATTCAGTCATGCCCCATGTGTTACGGGTGCTTACTGTGCATTGCATAATAAGCACTCAGGGGAATATAGTACTTGGCAAAGCAGACTGCAAGAGAGGCTTATGTCAGCCAGAGGATGTAAAAATCAGGGTGTAATTACAGACTGTGATAAGAACTTGGGAGGGCTAATGTTGGGTGCATTTGATCTGTCAGAGGGGCCAGGAAGGGCTTCCGTAAGGAAAAGGCAATTGAACTGGAATCTCACAGACAAGTAAGGCTGAGTGATCCAGGGAAACTGATGGAAGAGCCAGGAGACATCGAAGGGTTTTAGACAGGGGCAAGAATCAGAGATCTATGATTTGAAAAGGTCACTTGGGCCACAGGCAGAAATGGATGGAGGCCAGATAAGGCAGCAGGTGAGGCCCTGCCTGGTGGCCCAGGAGGCCCTAAAGCACACAGCCAGGCAGACAAGAGGGGAAAAAGAGGCAGGGTGCAGTGGCTCACGCCTGTAATCCTAGCACTCTGGGAGTCGGACAAGGTGGGTGGATCGCCTGATGGAGCTTGGCAACGCCTGAGCTCAGGAGTTTGAGACCAGCCTGACCAAAAAACAAGACCCTATCTCTAAAAATAGCCGGGCATTGTGGCAGGC